TTCTAGCACTTTATTATAATTTACATATTTGTTTGTAATATGTTTACTGTGCTATGCAGCAAACATAGTTTAGCATTTATTTACTATAAGACAATACATATATTCACAAATAAATAGGTGAATAATATTAGTTCTCGAATATATGGACAGATGATTATATAATCGTATCAAACATAGCAGTTATCTTCTTAGCCTTCTATTGCCATGTGTATTTGTGTAAGATATATACGTATCTGAAATTTGACAATATAAGATGTGAAAGAAATAAAATATATTGATTTTGGCCCTTCGGTGGGACCCAACGTAAATCCACTCGCTGATCAATATTATAAACAGACTGGTGAACTTAGAACTTACAAATTATATTATAATCGTATAAACATAGCTTATCAAATAAAAGTTTCTTCCGGAACAATCTTTCGCCCACTACTTTAGCATATTAAACAACGCTAGGACGCCAATAAGGAGAATTCGTTTTCGGTCGCGCTTCGTTTCTGTCGCGTCTCATTTCGGTCGCGGTTTATTTCGAACAAATATATGGAGCGCCGAAGGAGTTGCGAAAACGCAAAATTTTATATGCCTAGGCCCTATTATTATAATTAGATCGTCAATCGGTTTATCATAGCCTAAGTATTTTTTTTTATTTCCGTTTTGCTATCTTTTCAAATATTTTCTTTCGTCCATGGATTTTAGTATGTGCTTCAGGATATTCTTTTTGTTGCGTTTTCATACTATAATTTAATAATTATGGTCAATAAAATGTATCTTTGATTTTAATTGAATGAATTGAATGTTGTTACAATCTGAAATAACAATAATCATTACATTATTTAATCCGATGTTTCTATACAATAAATTTATTTATTTTTCTTGCAGCTTCCAGAGTTTGGATAAAACATAATTTAGGATAAAACAAGATAATTTAGGGAAACACAATTAAAGAAATAAACGAATAATACACACATTATCACTCTTCACTTGAAATCTTTAGTTTTTTTTGATGTCCCTGCGCAGTTCATAAATATGAATATATATAGGCCTATTTATATATGATTTTATATAAGCATAAATGATATACCTAGAAACAACTATATATATATATATATATATATAATATAGGCCTATATACACACACACACACACACATATATATATATATATATATATATATTTATACATATATAATATGATATTTAATTTATACATATGTATTTACATTACACATGAAATCATATAAGCCTAACAAATATATATTTTACTATCCATTTATTTTTGTATTTTATGAACATGATCAGCAGCCAGCGCAGATGCTTCAAAGTTACAGGTTTCATGAAGTAGGTGAAATCACAAACCTTGTGTCAGCTTCTTTGGCAATCAATTTGTGGAAACGTTTCTTTCCACAAATCTAGTTATGCAACTAAAGAAATAGGCCTAGCAAGTTGAGTGATTTTCTCGGGCTTATGAATATAAAAGAAGCATGAAACGGCTTTTAAAATGTGCAGCATGCAATTATTAATTTATTGATAATTTTATATGGAAAATATAAGTATGAAAACACATATTTCCTTTATAATATTATTATAAACATAATCAGAACATAGGGTAAATGGAAACTTAACAGACAAGAAAAAAAAAACGTATGCGAAACTAATCTATTGACTATACTTATTCCATAAATCTTTATTTGATTCAAGCAGAATAACAAATTTAATTCTGGTTTAATTTAAATAACGAGTTGGCTGGTTTTTCCTGATAAAAAGTTTGATTTGTATAAATATTTGTTATGTAGTAGTAGTAGTAGGAAGCGTAGAATCGATAACAAAACGAAAAAAACCGTCCGATAAAAGAGTGAAATGGTACTAGGAATGAAACAAACTAGAAAATAACCTATAAGTACCATAATATTAATTGAAATTTAGTTTAGTAATAATAGTATTCAATTTATTTGCTTTTAAGTAGCCTATGTTGTTGCTTAGTAGAAAGACAACAAAACATAAATATAGAAAAGTATGATAAACCGATTGACGAACTCACAATGATAATTAGGCCTAGTTTTATATATTAAATTTGGCGTTTTCGCAACTCCATTGGCGCTCCATACATTTGTTGAAAGCAAACCGCGACCGAAACGAGGTGCGACCGAAACGAAACACGACCGAAATGATCTGTATTCGTCGGGTGTTGTAGAACATGGTTGCTCTCTTTTTTTCCTATAAAGTAGAGTCGATGAGCGGCCGATGGTAGCGCTATATGTAAACAAAGTGAATTAGATGGCTGCGACCATTGAGCTAGTGTGTAACGATTAATGAATCTAAGGGGTCATTTAAGTATTATGTAACTCAGAGGGGGGTGGGGGTTTAGTGGAAAACGTTACAGTGTGTGACATAGGGGTGGGGGTCTTGCTTGAAGTGTTACATAACAAAATTAATTTTCATGGGAAGAGAAGAAATATTAAATATTCAAACTAGTATGATATTACTTTATTGAAACATACTACATCAGTGTAATACAATGTAATGTAACACAGTTGTGTTGAATTTGTGAAATCAATAAACAATGAAGTTACATCTACCATATCAAAAAATAACAATTTCCAAGAGCTATGATGTGCTGCCATCTAGTTGTTATTAGAGCAAACCATATTGTATAACAAATTTGTAGTGTAGGACAAATTTGTAGTGGAGGACATTTATCCTGATACTTAATGTTGTTCATCTGATTTTATTAAAATTGTTGATGTTCGGAAGTGGGGGTGTGGTTCTAGAGTTACATAACATTTAGAGGGGGTTTGGAAAAGTGTTACAGAGTGTTACGGGGGGTGGGGTGTCAATATTTGAAAAAAAATGTGTTACATAATACTTGAATGGCCCCTAAGCCTATAGTGGATTATTGTGTCGCATAGGAATATAGCGTGATTATATTAGAATGTGTATTAGGTGAGTTATGTATATTTTATCAAATATCTCTGGGAGTCCATGAGGTGAGGAGGAACTGTTATAAAAGCCTGGTACTCTATTGTAAGGAGAACGTGAATAGTCTGTACATACCTCTGTTGGGTAAGTCAGGATGGCCAAGTTATACTTGATAATAGCTATTTTTTTATGTTTACATTGAAATTATATTATTTGTTGGTGGTTTGAATATGCTATGAATAACAGTAGCATGTATAATTCTGGAGTATAGACCTGGTGCTTAGATTGAAAACAGCTCATATACCACTGTTGTTTATGATGATATTATTAATATGATATTAATAGTGATATTATTAATATTATTTGATGTTGTGATTTGACATTATTAAAGGTAATCTTACATGTCTAAATAAATTACATGACTGCAATGAGTTGTTTGTTTATTGCAGAGGTTTTTTTTTTTTTTTTTTGCCTACAATTTTTTTTTTTTTTATTGCAGAGGTTTTTTTTTTTTTTTTTTTTTTTCTGGTGTTTTACTTGAGACTGGTGATTTGGTTGTTGAAATTCAAGTTGGTTGAAGAATAAATAAGCATACAGATCAGCACCCATATCGTTGTACTAGTGTGTCTGTGTTCAAATCCAGGCCTTCGACACTTAAAATAGTTAGGTGAGATCTACATGTTTATTATTTTAATAGTCAGTTATAGACTAATAAATCAATTTAATTAAAATAATGATTGTCATATTATGAAAATCCAGGAGAAGAAAATAAAATGTTACCCTGAATTGCTCCTATTTTTTAAATTTTTTTTTGTTAATTGTTTGTTTTTGTTTTTTGTTTTTTTTTTCGTATTTTTTTTGTTTGTAATAAAAAGGGAATGAATAAGCTAAGTTTTAAGGTTGCAATTAGATGCAAATCGAATTTTTTTTATAGATTTGTAAACATTTTACAAAAAAAGTGGCATTGGTATGATCTATACTAATGTACGAACAATATATTCATGTCTGCATATATGCTAATGGCAAGAAAATGTGCGACTTTGTTGTAAAGCCAAACCAGTCACAAATTCTGTTTTAGAGATAATGGCCAAAACATATGCTGCAATGTGAAAATTTTGAAATCTATTTTATTGCACGAAACTACCCTTTATATAAAGTGAAAATATTTTGTTGTGCATGCAGAAATGCGAATAGCCTCTCTATACAGCCAGTGCCATATTTGCATAATGTGAATTGGTGAAGCTCTTCAAAAAACCGACCATAGAGTGGCTGCAATAACACTAGTCCAAAGAGTTGTTTACTGATAGGAAAGCCAGTGAATTTGTGTTCATTTCGATGTAAAATTTCGGCTGGGGTTGGTTGATTTAAATTTGAGTATTTGCAAGTTGAAAATTATGATGTTTTGAAATGCTGAGAAAATGTATCCCTTTGTAGTTGTTACAGATAATAAAGATACTTAATATGATTTGTCATAAAAAAAAAACGATGTGGTGACTTAGCTAGGCCCAACCTAGGCCTACTCTAGGATTTGAAGAATTAGGCCTGCCTGGGCCTAGCTAGCCTGTGATGGTATGCTGAAAAAATTGACGTAGGCCTAGGCCTCAATAGTATTCATTATTTTAAAGACTAAACCTATGCAAGTCCTTTGATACATGCATCACCGATTTTCACACATTGGCAGCACCCTGCTGTTTAATGTTTATTTTAACCTTAATAGTAGATGGTGTGAAAAAACTAAAAGGATGTGGGCAGTTTAGATAGAGTGTTCACCTTAGTGACTGGTTTGGCTTGTCTTTGCCACAAATACAGTAATTATAAAACTTTGTGACACCACTTTAAAAATGATCACCGATGGTTATCAAAACGTCAGATTAGTAAACGTATTTAAATTGTTATGAATCAATATTTATTACATCATTTTTTATTATTACACTAATAAATAATTAAAATGGCTGACAATACCCGGAGTACAGAAAGCAATTCAAATAATTGTATCGAACGGAATTATTGGCATAACATATAAACACAAAAACACAATTATGTCAATTTAATTAGTTGTAATGTTTTAGATATAAGCATAACACTCACTTATAGAGAGAATCTCCCACGGAGCACAAAGAAATAAATCCTATATATTTTCAAGCTACAGAAAAGAAACCTTTGCTTCAATTGTGCTTCAGATGTAAAATGACAACTTGAAGTCACAAGATTACGCCGTACAGGATGTACGGCGTACTCTTGTGACTTGTGACTCTTGTGACTAAGAATAAGTTTCTCACAACACTACTAATATTGAATTACAGCAAATTGCCTATTGTATAGCCAAACCACACTACCAACCTATTATTATATACCTGTTGCACTTCCTGCAAGGTCGTAAAATAATTTTTCGTTTAAGGGGAAAGTGTCAAAAATGTTTGATGGTTAGAATCAACATCACAATCAGTAAGATCAAATCATGACGTCAGTAATACTAATAAAATATTATTTTCAGAGGTCTTTAAAAAAGTTTTTGGCCAACTTTCTCTGCTATTATTTCACACTCATTAAAAAACATACATGTCCATAAAATTATAGGGAGAGTAAAGCCTGCTACCCCCTCTAAATCCACTCTTGTTAACATGACAAACACAGGAAGTTGAATCATAATTAAGCAAGCGGTAAGGATCTACCTGTCATAAACTAGTTTTTGATGACATCACGTAGAATTAAATGAACTTTCAAGCACTTTAACTTCCTTATGAATGGACAACCGGCATAGTAACGTCAAAGATATTCCAATATACATGAACATTGTTGAAATGAAATTCAATAGAAACAACAAAACAGAACACACTATTTTTAAATATTGGGAAAAACAACTAGACTTAAAATATTGAAAGAGGAAGTTGTTTCTCCTTTAAGGTACATCGATGGTTCTATGAAAATATAATTACAATAAAAACCCAATCGAGGATTTCCGAAGATTATATTGTAGGCATAGACCTCTAGTACAATTTCCTCTTACCAAATTTAGGCCTCGGTGAATGAAACCAACCCAATTTTTGCCATAATTCCAGATTACAATGACGCAATGTTAAAACTTTTTTTTTAAATTATAAGACAGTTTTGTGATCAGCCAAAGTCATGTTGTTTTAAAGCCTGTCATTGTTTGGCTCCTTGACAGGGATGACACCAGCGGGTGGAAGGTGGTGGGGTGAGAAAAATTCTAACTGGTCTTAGATGGGCTTATCTCTCTGGTGGTAAACAGTTCCGAGAGAATTTGAGCGACGCTCGACAACGCCTATGCTCTCCGTCGAGGACATTACCCCCTTCCTTTGTAAGGAATATTGCCCTTCCCCCTCTCTATTAAAAACATCTCCCCTCCCCACAGCAGTAAATCCCGACGCCACCGCTGCTACTTAAATATGTGCTGAACAACGATTTTGAAAGCATTCTTCTGTATGTTGAAAAAATGTTAGTGTTAAGCAATATTAATATCTACAGTTTCCAACCTGACAAATTAACTCAAATTTAAATTGAAGAACATGTTTTGTTAAATTATAGAACGGTAAGGCAAAATTATTTTGACTGTCATAAACTAAGTACAGTATTGACCTGGTCTGGTCAAAGTAAGCCTAGGCCTAAGGCTAAGTTTTTCTCAATTTTGGTTATTGTGCTGGTCGTGTAAGCAAGAAAGATATACAGTATGATGATAGGCCTAGGCTTACTTTGACCAGACCAGGTCAATACTGTGCTGGCCCGAACCTGATTCTGGTTCAGTATGATTAGATCGATGTTTTGCAGTGGCTTTGTAGGCTAGACATAGACCTATATACCTTTGTCTAGTTTCGGCCCGTAATAATAAATTATTAAAATAAATAAATATTAAACATAAATAAATAAACATAAATAAAAATATATATAAATAAATATATTTTCCAGATGGAATAACCAGGCCTGTGCTGGCCCGAACCTGATTGCTGCGTAGGCATAGTTAGTGATTTATAGTAAATGCAAATTTTGGGTGGGTGTAACTTTTGTGTTCATATCTTTTGTTTTTCCTAACAAAATGTGCATGCATTTGGTACCAAGATGGAGCATATTGGCAGTTCAATCACATACATTTATAAAATTCGTAAAATCATTGACATTTTAACAAAAATGAAAATTCTACCATAAATCATTACAAAAATAAATTTTGAAAAAAATTGAAATTGTAAATAGATATTATCATTATTTATTATTGTACACACAGTAATATGGAATACGGAAATTGATGGCCGGATGAAAAACACAGGGATATTTTACATATATATCACGTCATATGTGATAAACATATTAATTTATAGTAATCCGAATTTTGGCTGGGGAAGGAGGGTAACATTTGTGCTAATAACCTGTGTTGTCGTGAATAAATTTGTATGATGTTGGGTATCAACATAATAACATATTAACTGCTTATTTTTTTTAAATTTTTTAATGTGAAAATACCATTCAAGATGGCCGACAAAATGGCGCCCATATCATAAACGGCTACAAATTGCACTGTGATTGTGGATTTTTCCATAAATATCGGGTTTTATGGGTCAGTAAATCATTTGAAACAGTTTAAGATGTTAATCTGATCAATATGAGGGAATTCAAGATGGCCAAAATATATAAAAAGCCATAAATCAGTAATTGTATACTTAATTTCAATGCCATTTTTTACATTTTATTCTAGATTTTTTTTTTTTATCAAAGAAAGGTATCCTGATCTAAGATCTTATTGATTTCAATTAGGCTTTTTTTTTTAAATGGTCGTTTTTATTCATCATGGAGGCTTGAATTGTAGGACCAGGCTTACGATACCTTTTTCCTTCATCATCGCTTATCCATAGTGTGAGGCCCTAAGGCGCCTCTCATAGCGACGAACCGCATGTGTGAATGACTTCATGGTTCGATGTTGTTTTGTTCAAATGAGTTACCGTTATTAAAACTAGTTTACACAAAAGTATACATCTTGTGTAGTTTATTCGTTTGTAGTACTGTGTACCATTAAACATGGCGCTGCAAGCAATCAAGGTTCAGCAACATAAGCTCTATTTGGCGACAGATAGGCTCTCGGAGTTTCGCGTGTGGAAAACCCAGTGAAACGCCTACACCGCCATGAAGGATCTCGACAAATAATCAGGCCAGGCCCAGGTAAACATCCTTTCTTTATGCCTCTCAGTGGAGATTTTGAAGATTTTATTGAACTTGGGTCTCACTCAGGCTCCCCTATGGTCGACTAAGGATATTATTGAGTCTCTTGAGGCACATATTCAATGTCAGATAAATAAATCTGTTGAAAAAGACAAAAATTTAGAGCTAGACTTTAAAGGTCAGGTGAGAAATTTGACGATTACCTATTCAGCCTCCGCGAATTAGTCAATGAGTGTAATTTTTGTGATGACCAGTGTAGTCAGAAAGCAATTCGAGATCAAATTATTGAAGGCCTTACCGATACCACGATTGTCGAACACCTTAGTTATCTCAAATTAGGCCTGGCGAAAAAAAAATTCGTAACAAGAGGGTTAGAGACAGCCAAACATCAGAAAGATGAGATCAACAGGCCTCAACTACTCGCCCAGACTAGCAACGCCGCTGTTTTTTCGGTCAAATAAGAAAAATCGTACTACTACTAATTATGTTGGTAACTCAAAGAAGTCACATACGCCTAGACATACTACTCCAGCATGATTAACAACAGTAAGGTACTAACAAAATGTATGTACTGTGGTAAACTTTATCAGTACTGACGTCAACATTGCCCTGCATCTGGCGTTACTTGTAATACATGTCACAAACGTGGACATTTCGCAACTGTTTGCAGATCAAGACCGCATAATCGTGCGGTACGTGTTGACATGCAGTATCCACCTGTCAGTCTGAACTAGGTGGCTTATCTCAGGCCAGGCTGTGTTTCTATAGTAACTAGGCCTGGCATGCCACCGTGTTTAACTTTTCCAAGCCGGGCTTTAATCGTTGTGGGGGGTCTTGCATCTGAACACTCTGCATTCACTTACGTGCGCTGTGAGCGAGCATACGTTTCGCGAGTAATGTTTTGAAACACCGTTTCCTGGTCACGGTTCATTATTATGCAAATGCTCGCGCCTCCTGGCTAATCCCGCTAGTCTGAACGCCCGGCAAAGTTGAGCCGAGCTTAACGTTGAGCCGGGCTTAACTCAAGCCTGGCTTATATTCAAGTCTGAACGTAGCCTGTGTCATAGGCAGCTGAGGGTCGACGAACTCTACTCCAGTTATCTTCTGCAACCCAACGATCGATCCATGAACCGATGACGTAGAAGAGACGTACCGATGACGTCACGACCTTCCATCTAATAAATCTACGATCTTGTACATTCCATTCGAATTAATTTCTTTGTTAGACGTTGATCGGCACCAGTCAGTTATAATACACCTGCTGAAGATTATCGTTTCGCTAATTGTCATTTTTTTGGCAGCAATAGCTAAACGGACGGGTATTGAGCGCCCTGGCCAAATGGTCAAGCTTTCGATGATTTTGTTAATTTTCGATTTTTTTTACACAGTTTTGAAAATTACCGTCCGATGTTTCATAGAAGAGTTGGCAATCGCATCGAACCTTGAGACTTGTCATCTGCTTCAATTGGATATCATTATGCTGATCGTCGTGTACACTCTTTTGCCAGCAATAAATCATTGGACCGTTATCGAGCTCATCGGCCACCTAACCAAATCTGTAATATCTGCCATGGGATTCATTTGATTTTTAGAGACATTGAGAATTTCTACCGAATTTTTAACAGGAATGTCGATGAAAATGACAGCAATTCCGTCGAACAAAGAGGATTTTTTGTTGATTCTGGTCAGCCATGAAGGCATCCAGTACTATCTAGATAGAATTTACAAACCTCCGTTTAGAAGAAAAAGACACCAGGTTTTTTTTATTGTTGGCACTTGGGGTACACTGCCGCTCGTCCGAGCCTGCACGTCTGCCTATCGTGTACGGCCTGTTACTTTTTTCACATTTAGGACAAGAAATACTAAAAGAAATGTGTTGAAAGACTAATAAAAGAAAAAAACACAAAGAAATATTTTGTATGTCTGAATTTATTGTTTCTCCTTTTCTTAACCAATCTTAGGTTTAATTTTTTTGTTTTTAAGACGGCGGATGT